TTAACCTCTTTTATTAAAAAGCATTTGATAATTAATTCCCCATCCCTGTTCTTTCCCCATTTCAACACTGATCAATTCTTACAAAGTTCCTTTACAATTTCAATGATCAGGGCAGTTTTTCTTGCAAATGGCTGGAAGCCTTGAATGGCTTTTAGACTCAATTTAAAGACTGCTCTGCTGCAGTGTTGCTGGGAGAAAATGCATCTAATTTGCCAAAACCAAATTAACTCCTAATTCACAGGGGATATGTTTAAGCAGTAAACAGTTGATAAAAATATAAACACTTTTATTCTCCTTGTTTCATGTGGGCTTCAAGGTAATTATTAAACTTACATTTACATGTCTAGACAAAGCACACACAATTAGCACAATTTAAAAAATCATACCATCTTCAAATTAATGTATTTGACTAAATGATGATACAAAATCTTTCCAAATAATTTAACCCAACAAGTTAGTTTTATTTTCTACCTATCATGGGGGTTTTTAATGACTTTTATATAAATTTCATTTCAAGTCTCATCAGAAACACTGGTCATATTTTGAACTAAATGCTTCTATTGCAAGACATTGTATAATCGAATCTCTTCTCCATGCAGTTATAGACCTTTCATTTTCAATATAACATTATCTTCTATTGAGTCCTAAGGCAAAATCTTGTCACCGAACACATCTGTGTGGGTGGGTGTGTTTCAAGGGCAATCAATTAATCAACACATTACAACCAAAAAGGCCCAGCTTGCTCCATCTCCCATTTTGCAGGATTTCTTCTGTCAATATTTCTATGTGGGAAAGACCTTTGTTAGGTTCAATTTGGCCATTTATGACCTGGACAAGGGGCCTTCCTCATGCACCTGGGCATGTCTTTTTCCACCAAATCTCTACTTCCTTCCCAAGACAAGGGGGAGGACAAGGTCTCCAGCTTCCTGGCTCTGTGCTCATGAAGTCATGGTCCTTCCTCTACGGGGGTGCAGAAGGCAGGGCCACTTTCCCTGTGGAGGGTCTCAACTAAGGCTTTGACACAGCCACATAGTCCCAGCAAGAGGCCAGACCCTTCCCTTTATTTTTTTTTTTATTTTTTAAAAAAGAATGCTTTATTTCACTTTATTATTATTTTTAAAATTTGCACTAACCAGAGAGAGAGAAAGCAAGCTACCAGGTCCAGGACTCAAACCACAGCTGACCATGTGGGAGTTCAGTGCCTTAACCACTATACTCCCTGGTCCCAGCCCCTTCCCTTTACCCACCCAGGTGCATTGCCCTGAAGCTGGAGGGAGGACTAAGGTGAGCACCACTGCCAGGGAGTACTGGTTCAGATGTCGACTGACTGCTGATCTTGGGAGATGTGAGCTTTAGCTGCAGCTGTGACCTGGCCTTTGGGCTCAGGTGCTGCCTTAGGACACAGACCTGGGAGGGGCAGCGGCCCCACACCAGCAGCCTCCCTTCGTTCTTTGATGTCAAAGAACTTTCTCTAGTGATCTTCAAGAGGGCGCTCATTCTAGCTGGTCTCTGGAAGGCACTCCTTTCAAATCACCTTTCTGCAGACAGAGCCTGGTCTAATTCAAGGCCACGTCCTGGGTGTCTGGTTCCTGCAGCTGCTCCTGATAAATTGCTCTGAGTTCCAAGGCTACCGCTGTCATATTGCATTCCCTGACCGTTTTCCAGGTCCCCGGTGCACATTAGGGAAACACACCCATGCCCATGCACACGCCCATGCACACACACTCCTTAGCTCATCCCCACAGAGTGTCCTCATGAGCTCTGCGAGCAAACACAGCTGCACGAGGCTGAACTCAGGGTGCACCGAGTGGGAAGCCTTGGAGCCGGGAGAGTCAGTCCCCATGGGTGCAAATGAGGGAGGTACACATTTAAAACTGCTTGAAGGGCCCAGCTAAGGTGGCACAGCCAGTAGAGCACCACTGGAGTTGTGTGCAAAGGCCTGGGGTTCAGATCCTGGGTCAACCTGAACATGCTGGGTCCTCACTGACTACATGGTTTGCAGGGGGATCACATCTTAGCAAGACCCTGTCAGGGGTGTCTCTCTTTCTTGAAAAATAAATATGGGGGTAGTCTTCAGAATTTATGGAAATAGTTATTATGAAAAACTATGAATGAATTTCAAATGTTTTCACACCAAAATAAACTCATACTTTAATTCTATTTTCATGAAAAAATATTGGGGAGGCAGAGAGTGTGCATTCACCAGAGAGAGAGAACACCCCAATGGGGACCATGCCACAATCCTTCCCCCCCCCATCTTTTTATGTCATCCTGTGCCCAGCATGTTTTTCGGGCCACCAGGGTTGGGATTTGAACCAGCCACATGGGATCCTGCTCCCCATGCACAATACTTAACCTCTGCTCTCTGGGACTAGCCCGTCCCATGAACTTTTTGAGTCTCCTAGTAAATAAAACTTTGAAAATAAATAAACTGCTCAACAACTGGTATGTTAGAGGAAGAAAGTGAGTTGTGAGCTCCTGCCTCTGGATCAGCATGCACTGGGGTGCACAACCTCCTGATGGGAGCACTAGAAAAGAAGCCACAGATGCACAGCTGACTTGGAGCAACTGAAAAGAGAACAGAGAGTTAGGAGGAGGGGGAAATGAAATAAAACTGAAAAGGAGAGGGGAGGACAGCAGAGGCCAGGACCACTCTGTGCTGTGCCAAACATCTGGGCAGAAACTGGAGCATTCCCGAGAGGCCTGGTGCCTAGTGGGCAGTCAGCAGGGCGCGGCCCCTGCTCCTTGGCCTCTGGCAGCGGCTCACTCCTGCCTTGGGCCCAGCCTTCGGACCTGGCCTTGCTCGGGAGGCACAAGTTTAGCTGAGCAGCGTTTGCTGTCCGTTAGGAGGCTGGGCCCTGGACAAAGAAGGAATAGCACCCTCTCCTCTGCACCCTCCCCAGTGGGCACTCAGCATCCTAGGGGGTCTCCAGGAGAGGCCCCATCCTCAGGACAGGGAGAGGCAGGGAGGAGCTCTTATCCTCACCAGAGACCCATGACCAGAGGATTGGGGTGCGCCTGAACCATGGAGCATTCCCTGGCCCAGCCAGGCCTGTCCCAGAGGCAGCCATGTGAGTGGATTCCCGAACCAGTCCTCCAAGTCCAGCCAGCGTCTGCCCCTGCTCAGATGCAGGGTCTACAGCAGAAGTGAACAGCCCTTGCCTTGTAGGACAACCAGACATTCCTGAATTGCATCACTGGCAGTGGGCGGGCTGCAGTGGCTGGGCCTGGTCAGGGCTTCAGTTGTGGTCCTCGGAAGGGAGCTTTTCTCTTAAATAGTATTGCTGGTCTGGGCTCAGACCCCAGAAATGTCACAGTCACCTTCTCTGCAAGGAGACTGGCCTAGGGCTAGGCAAGGTTGCTGGGCCTCTGGCACTGGACCTGCTTCCCAGCTTGGGCTGTGCCCAGCAGAAGACCGGATAGACGGGAAGCAGGAAGAAGGGAGGGTGGGGATGGGACCTTTACCTGCCCCGCTTGCTCTATTCCTTTCCTCTTCCACCTCCCTTCCTGCCACTTCCTAGTCCTGTGGGGAGTCAGCCCAGCCTCAGCAGCTAGCCTGGCCAGGACCGCAGCATCCACTCTCCACCTCTGGCCTCTCCGGGTCCTCACCCAAGAAGCCCCATTTCTAGGACTAGTAGAGCATGGTGCTTTCACCTCTGATTCCACAAGTGCAAGTGCATCATGCACCCGGACAGCTGTCCACACATCACTCCCCGAACACCCACAACATACACGCCTGGCTCCTGGCTGAAGGTGCCAGCTTGCTGTGTGGGGCCAGCCGGGAGCAGAAGGTGCTGCACTCCCTGCTCTCCATTCACTGGCTCTGCAGTTCTGGTCATCTGAGACTTCTGTGCAGAAGCACTGTCTTCCCACAACCTCCCTCCTCCCACATACACACACAACAGGCACACTGGCTTCTCAGAGAGCTCAGAGGTGGTGTTGAGACACAGAAACTAGGCAGTACACAGACACACACACACACACAGCCAGCAGTCCCAACCCAAAGAGAATGCGGTACACACTCAAGTGCAAGCACACATGCACTTCCCGGAGC